AGAATTACGTGAATGGGAAGTAGCAGCAAAGGACCAAATGCTACAAAGCCTGGACTCTGTCAAACTACAGCAAGGAGTTAAAGACAACTGGGATTGGATACACACCAAGGATGGAGCCTACACAGCAAAATCGGGATACCAACATCTAGCTTCCCTTCAAAACAGCAATCACAGACATGAATTTAGCAGAGTGTGGAACAGCTACATCCCAACAAAGATTTGCGGGTTTGTTTGGCAACTCCTACTCAACAAAATTCCTACTAAGGCAAACTTATTCAAGAGGGGAGTAATCTCACAAACCCAGGAATTAATCTGCTGTTTTTGTAATGAACATGTTGAAGATAGAGATCATCTCTTCCTGAAGTGCAGAATAGTTGATGAAATCTGGAACAAGTGCTTCAAATGGTGGAACTTACAAAAAACAAACTTCGAAAACTGCTGGGAGGCATTCGTGAAGCATGCAGAATCTCCACCTCACGCAAAAAGGAAAAAGGGGTGGGAAGCCATTTGGTTCTCAGTGACATGGACAGTTTGGCTGACCAGAAATAGAAAATTGTTTCAAAAGGAGGAGGTCGATACTGCAAGGATGTTTGATTTAATCCAAACAAGAGCTTTTTTGTGGATAATGAACAGAGGAAAAAACAAGCATTGCTTATTTTCAGACTGGATTCTCAACCCCAACCTGTGTATCTTCTAACTCCCCATTTCGGTTGGGAGATACCACAGCATCAAGGAAGGGTGTGAGAAGGCTGAAGAATACAAGCATGCTGCAAACAGTTGGAAGGTACCAGAAATGCAACTAAGGAAACTCAGAGCCAAAAATATCAACAAGGGAGGTTATGGTATTCTGGAAGGGCTGAGCATTGTGAAATCCGACACGGTCGTGGTGCCGACACTTTATTATGGTGTCGACACCAAACGGAAGAACGGGCCCAAGTCTCCGACACGGACATGGTGTCGACACACAATATAGGTGTCGACACCGAACGGAAGGGATAATTGACTATGTAACTCTTGACCTTTCAAACTGAGATATTTACAGGTTTGGGTACTCCTTGTACTCCGTATCAATAAATATTATTTTTGCTTTTCAAAAAAAAAAAAGTGATTCTCAGCAAGTGTTTTCAATTGAAAAATGATTTAGAGATAATTTTTTATATAATTTTTAAAACAATTTTATATATTATTTAATGATAAATTCTTTTCACTTAATTGATATTCAAAGTATGATATGTATATTTATTTAATAACACATAAAAGTCATACAAAAAACTTATATAAAAGAGTTGTCCTCATATTAATATCTTTTTCCATTGAGT